ATCTGATTTTCGCTACGTATTACCAACAGTTCAGCGAAGAATTCTCGCAGATGCACGTAGCAGCCGCCGAAGACTTGAAAGCTGAGATGGCCGAGGACGAAGAGTCGGCCAAGCAAAACGCGAAAGTAGCACAAATCCTTGCTGCCGGCGGCCTACCTGCAATCTCGCGTCTCGATACTTGCGTCACTCTTGTGGATGCTTGCAACGTCTTCAATGATTACCAGACTGCAGACTTCCTGGTCGACCGGAACAAGAACGGCGAGGTGCCCGAGGGTGCGTGAAAGAGACTGCATTCGCGGATACTGTGCGCTGCTGACGCCTGCATTGTATCTTGTGGTCATCGTAGAGGACGACAGATGCATTTCTGATCTCATGACGGATCAACTCGAATTCGCCGACGTCGTCATCTGCAGCAAAGTAGACTTGGTCGCTCCGACCGAGGTGGAGCGCATTCGCAGCCTTGTTCACCAGCTCAATCCAACGGCCACTTTCATACCTGCTGTTAAGGGGCAAATCGACCTGAGCAAGATTCTCAACACTGGAAGCTTCTCCTACGCTAAAGCTGCTACCTCGGCCGGATGGCTGCGAAGCTTGCAAGAAGTCGTAAAGCCAGAGACCGAAGAGTATGGCGTGGGAACCTTTGTGTACCGTGCTCGTCGTCCTTTCCATCCGCTTCGCTTGTGGAAAGCGATCCGCGAGGTCTTTGTCGTCATTCAGGTGAGCTGCTTGCAAGCACGCGGGCCTTCACCGGCAAGCCTGGCTGACTCTGCTGCAGGCCGCTCCTGAACCGCACCCGGATATGGATCTTGACATACAGACCGAGTACATTGATGATGGCGAAGGGAGCGAGCAGGATGAAGAGAAGGCCATCGGCGATGATGCTGAGATGTCCGAGGCCGAGGTGGAAGAAGGCGATGAAGAGGTCGCCTCTGACGATGAGGATGAAGCAGGCGAAGCTCAGCCTCAGCTTAATCCCGCAGCTCGACTTGCCAGCAAGAAAGCATCTGGCTGGGCCAATCTGTTCAGATCAAAGGGCTTTATCTGGCTTGCTACTAGGCCTCTCATGGTGAGCCACTTGCAGCACGAGATCATCCGCACTGCACTTGTCGACTAGATACTGACAAGCAACTCGTCTTGCAGTTTGGCGAGTGGTCCCAAGCTGGATGCATGCTGACTTTGAACGGAGGTGGCAGATGGCGCTGTGAAGTGCCCGAAGAGGACTGGCCTCAAGACCCTGAAATTGTCGACGCAATCAAACGCGACTTTGAAGGACGTTGGGGTGACCGTCGTCAAGGTGAGCTGGACGTACGAGCCCTGTTCAAGACGA